CATAGTTATAAGTTAAGGTGCGGTAATGTAGCAAAGGGTGATCCTGTAACCTATTTCAGTACACAACGGATGTGTTAGCTGCCTTCTCAGGATTTCGACTCGACGAGTCATCCGGGTCACATTCGAGTCAAGTGAGTGCTAACCCTTTGGCCACAAGTATGACGAATGCCTGGCTAACAATTCAGTATGGTGCGGCATGGTTGTCAGATACACATAACATTGCAGGCGTTGTGCTATGCACACATATTGACTTTGGAGCAGCATTTTAAAGAAACCATGTGACCAGCTGCTATGTGTGCCCCCGTGGCATTTGTGTTTGTTTGGTTCCAACGCTGCCGGCTGGTGAGACGTGTGTGGGACGACCCACCTGAGCGGCCCACCCCCCGCCGCCGGCGTCAGGGCCGTCCCTGCGCGGTGGACCCACCTCATTGGCCAGAACAGGCCACCCCAGGGGTCGCTTGTCGGCCATGTGAAATGACGCGCGTGCCTTGGCGATGCCCGGCAGCTGGGATCGGAGGAGAGCCAGCAGTACTTCGCCAAGTACCTGACGTCGCAGAAGCTGCTGCAGCTGCAACTCAGCGACGCCATGTTCCGGCGATACGTGCTCGTCCAGTTCCTGATCCTCTTCCAGTACCTCACCTCCCAGGTCAAGTTCAAAAGGTAACTGGAGTGGAAGGTCATAACCTGGTCTTGTCGTGTGGTGTTTGGATGGTGAAACCATCGTCCCAGCGCAAGGTTTGCTTGTAATTTCATTGGGGTCGCGCCTGCTTGCGGAAAAAAACAAAAAACGATGTGGTGAAACCGCCCTGGTGCAAACTGCGGCGCCAACTCGTGTTTTCTACAGATGGTACCGAAGCCGCCCCAAAGTTTCGAGGCTCCGTCACACGGCCTGGCATGTAACTTTTACTGCGGTAATGCCCGAGCCAGAATGGCTGGTATCGTCCGTCCGACAGTCCTGCTTACTGGCGTTACGCTGTGTCCTAGCGTCTGCGTGTCCGCCGGGTCCCGCATCGCAGTCTGGGTCGGTGTACCGAGACGCCTACCCGGTCCCGTCTCCTGTCCCGTGTCTGCCAGCCGGCCCGGTCCGCCAGCTGACCCCGCACCGGTGCGGCCGGTCGTTGCAGCGAGACGCAGTCGCTGTCGGAGGCGCAGCAGGCCTGGGTGCGCGACACGCAGCAGGCTGTCTACCGGCTGATGGCCGAGACGCCGCCTCAGGGCCAGCTGTTCGCCGACACCATCAGGAGCATACTGAAGGTGATGCTGCCCGCCTCCCGCCCTTCTCCGGAGGACGGGCGCAGAAACGCGGCCGGCAGGAGAGACGGGGGTGCCGAACTAAAGTCATGCTGTTTGATGTGGTGCCGCTCAGGCTTTGACTCGGTGGTGTCGGTGACCGGCGTCCGTGCCGATCTTTGACGTTCATCGAACGCCCATATCGCCTCCGAGCGCAGACCCCTGGGGCCCCGAGTGCAGTGTCAGGTCACGGTTGACAGGTGTGGCGTTAGCGCAGGGCGAGAGGGGTCCACCGAGTCTCGTGGAAGACTTCGATAACAGTTCATTGTGTTAGCGCAGGGTGAGAGGGGTCCACCGAGTCTCGCGGATGACTTTAATAACGATTTAGATAAACGGGAATAATAGGTACACCAGAAATAAAAACTCAGATAAGCAAAGCTCCGGGACCCTTTCCGCCTCTGATCAGGGTCCTCCCCACGTTCGCCATGGGGTGCTCGCCGCCTGTGACCCGGGCCACCCGGCCCCCCTGCTTCTGACCTGGATCCTGCCTGCCTCTACCTGGTCCCTCCCTGCATCTGACCTGCCACTCCCTGCCTGCTGCCTGGCCCATCCTTGTCTCTGACCCTGTTCCTCCCTGCCTCTGTCCTGGCCCCTCCCTCTCTCCACCTGTGACCTGGCTGCCCTCAGCCTCTGACCCGACTCCTATCAGCTGGTGACCTGCTGCTGTCTGCTCACGTCCTGCGCCTCTGCACCCTCCTCCTCCTCTGACCCGTGCTCTGGACCCCTTTCCGCCTCTGACTGGTCCGCTGGACCTCTCCGCCTCTGACCGGTCCACTGGACCCCTCTCCGCCTCTGACCGGTCCGCTGGACCCCTCTCCGCCTCTGACCGGTCCTCTGGCGCCTCTCCCAGCGTGAGGAGAACTGGAACGCCTGGAAGAACGACGGCTGTCCGGCGTTCAAGCCGCCGGCGGCGGAGGAGACTCCGCCGGAGCCGGCGGCTGGCCGGCCGGCGCCGCGCCGCCGCCCCAAGCGCAAGGTCGGAGACGTGCTCCGCCACGCCGAGGCCAAGAAAAAGTTTCTCATGGGACAGTGAGTGACACAGGAGGGGAAGAGAAGAGTGCCAGGACGCGGCAGACCGGCCTGCCTTGTGGCATTTGGTGATCGGTGGGAGTGAGGGCGTGAAAACAAAAGTGGACATGATCGCGTCTGATCGGTCGCAGCTGCGGCGCCTGTCTGTTTTGAGGGTCTTGTGTAACGAAACAGTGCCACGCTCACTTCTTTCCCATAATAACTTGGGCGGCTGCTTGATTGCTTGATAACATCACGATAAATATGCTAACATAGTTCCTTGTTTGGTGCCATTCCTATCTGCTTGCCACCTGCTCTTTCTCGGGGAGTCGGTCAACAGCGCCCATCTTTGTGTTATACATTATTTCATGCATGTTCAGCTGACGCTAGTTTCGTTGTGTGCACCGCCAGACTGCATGTCTTTGACACCAGCAGAGCCATGTGACCTGCGCTGCCTTGACCTCTGGTGACCTTCGTGTGTACCCGTGCCACGCAGCCCCGAGCTCACCCGGCTGTGGAACGTGTGCCCCGACAACATGGAGGCCTGCAAGACGTCCAAGCGCGACTTCCTGCCGCCGCTCGACACGTTCTTCGACGAGGCCATCACCCAGATGGACCCGGCCACCATGGTAGAGGACCAGTACAAGTGAGTTCACGGCGAAGGGGCCGCTCGGCCATGTTTCCAGAGCGTCTGTGACCCGGCTCGGGCCGCATTTCTCCGACCGTGACCGCGTAACACCGGCGCTGTGTGTGTCTGCCAGCGCTGGCGTGTCTTCCTTGCGCCGGGTCCGTGCCCCGCTGCTGGCGCTGCCGGCCTGGCCAGTGACCGCCACAAGATGGGGCGGAGCCGGCCGCTGAGCTGGTCCCCCCTCTCGGTGACACCTCTCCTCCCGGCTGTGCGCAGAGTCATCAACAACGGCGACTACGGGTGGCGCGCGCTCCGGCTGCTGGCGCGCCGCTCGCCGCACTTCTTCGCCGCCGCGCAGAAGATCCCTAACTCGCTGCCCGACTACCTGGACACCATCCTGAAGAAGGTGGCCAACGACATACCGGTGAGGGGGCGGTGCTGGACTCAGGTCGGCATCAGGCGGGTTCAGGCGGACGTCCGTCACGCTTGGGAGACCACGCCAACACCGGCAGGCGTCTGTCACCGAACCACGACTGAAAAGTGTCGTGATATGATAGTACACCGCAGTTGTGTCATTTAGCACACGTGCTCACTTGCTCAAATGTCCGTGACGTCAGTGAGACGACCTCGTGATGGGCTGCGATATTGATGAAAAACGAGAGTGCGCACGTCGCTCGAGCGTGGATGTTGCGTCAGCTGTTACGTCCAACTCGGCGTACAGCTTACTCGTCCTTCTCCGTTTGTGGGCCGTGCCATGGCCAGGTCGCGCCATGCTGACGCGCTGTGCCGCGTCACGCCCGCAGAAGTTTAGCGGCGGTAACGGTGCCGGCGACGCCTCGCTGACGGCCGCCGATGAGACGGTGGCGGACGGCGCGGCCGAGGCCGAGGAGCTGCGCGCTGAGGAGGCGCCCGAGGAGGCGGCGCCAGCGCGGCGCGTGCACCGGCTCACCGAGCCGCTGGCCGGCCAGCTGGCGGCGCGGCTCGGGGCCGACTGGAAGCGGCTTGCTTCACGGCTCGGATTCCAGTCGGATGAGGTGCGCCACACCCAGGGGTCTGGGGGAGGGGTCGGCGGCACAGGATGTGGTTGGAGGTGCGCGGGGTGGGACCCGTCTGGGATGCTGACGGCCAGAGACGAGCTGCGCAGACCGCCTGGGCTTGAGCCTGGATGTCGCGCCAGGCGTTTCGACGAGGTTAGGAAACTTGCGTGCATCGCAATGGATAGGACGTCTTGAGAGGTGTTTTCTGGGAACCGCGTTCGCCATACTTGTGTGTCGGCGCGCACGGCAGTGACGGGTGTTCCCCCGGGTCGCAGGTGGACTACTTCGTAAGCGAGCAGCCGACGGCGGAGGCGCAGGCGGCCATGATGTTCCGCCAGTGGATGGACAACGAGCGCGAAGAGGCCACCCAGGAGGAGCTGCTGTACGCCCTTGAGGCCGTCAAGCTGGACACCGCCGTTCGGGAGCTGTTCGACCCAGAGGTGCGCGGAGAGACGGACGCCCCGGCCGATAGCTAGCCAGCCTCTCAGGGTCGGCGTCGGCCGCCGACAGAGGGCCGCGTCGGGGGCTCGGCCGCCGACAGGTGGCAGCGCCGGCACCTCGGGCCAGGGTAGGCTGTCCGCACGGGCCACTGAGCAGCCGGTGCATGCCCTGCTGAGCTGGCCGGCAGCGTCAGCGACGCCATCGCCCTTCGGACTGCGCCAGAAACGGTGTGAACCACTCCGTCTAGTGGCGGCCGGGGCATCGGACGCCGCGCCGGAGCTGACCTGGTCTGGCCCGAGGACACCAGCGACGGCGCGCGGTCGGCTGCTGCCCGTCGTACTGTTCTCGGCGCTGGGAGCCGCGGTCTCACCCGACCAGCCATCGGAGAGGAGTCGGTGCTCGTGCTGTGCCTGTTCTGAACTCTGGGATCCGCCCGTACGCGGCGAGCGCGCCCCTGTACTGTTCACCTGTATGTGGTACAACCTAACTGACAGTGACGTACAATACAGCCGCTGGTCGTGGCCTTCCGTGCGGTGTTTGGCGCCGGGCTGGAGCCGCCTTGGTCTGTTCGATATGTGTGGAGAAAGTATTGTTGACTCGTTTCATAAAGCTTGGGCTAAAAACATACAGAAAAACAGAAACGGCAAGGGGGTCTTAAAGAAAACGGATAACAATCATTGGGAGCTCAGTGGTCGCAATGATACATAACGTGCCTAGCAAAATTTGAGTTATTGAGGTCGGTATGGTTGTGGGTCTATGGGCTAACCGTGTTCTGCAGTGGGCTGAACACGGTTTGCCCAAAACCAGCCCTACATACCAATTACACATGTAGGGTTGGTTTTCGGATGATCTCCCTGGAGGTGGTATTCATACTCTGCCTTCCGACTGGGCTGCCATCGATCAGCCCGACTAACCAGCAATTGCATCCTCTCTTGGTCGTTTACTGATGCGATGGTGGTTTGGCACGGGACTGGGCAACCTTACCCATATGCAGCTCCCACAGAGGCAGGATGGTAGCACAACCGCTGCACGGCGTTCTTGTCCTAACCCAAAGGCTTTCAAGTGTTAAGGGCCTGCTTTTCACGGAGCTGTAAACCGCATTATGTCAAGCCAATTCTGATGGGCCCGGCACCAAACGAAAAACTGATCAATTATCTTGAGTCGATCCATTGACCTTCTTTGTCTGTGGAGGTGAACCTCCCGCGACATTGGGGGTCAAAGTTTTCGTGCACGATACGCCGTGAATTTTCCGACTTTTACTTATCCAACCGACCCTCTTATCCTCTTTCTTGCTTTATCCTGCACCCTCGCAACACCCCACTTGCTCAGGGTAGGCTGCATGCGCCAGCCACAAGTGGGCAGTGAGGTCCCCTGGTGGGAACCCCGACCTGGCGCCCGGCGCATCACCCCGCAAGGGGTCCCTGCGTGGGCTTAGGCTCCGTGGTTGGTTCCGCAGGCGCATGCTGTTCTGCCTCACCGGAATCTATTATTTTCCATCTAATAACCTTGCGATGATGATGATTTGGGATTTTAGGACGTGTCAACATCAACGGTCATATTGCACCCGTAGCCCCGCAATGATCGATCGACCCGCTTCTGGTCGAGAGGGCTCTAGTCCAAATATCCCAATCTGAGAATATCTGACTTTTGTCACACTCCCAGGGGTCTCAGAAGCGTAACCGGTAACGAGTCTGGGTCATGTGGTGTACAACTTCGTGAGAGTTTCTTGCAAACATTCTGGGCATAATACCGCAATGCACATACCCCACATGCCCATGGTGGTATTAGATATCTGTGCAGGAAGGTCTCCAGTGTCCCGATAGCTGAGTCATGGGTGAGGCAGATGAGGCATGCCAGCATGACTCGATTTGTGCGGATCGAAAGTGGCGAGCGAAATGTCGTGGGTAAAACAAATAATGTCTACGACGATATTGTGCCACATTTCCTTTACCGAGCTTGCTGAGTCCAGATCGCAATTCGAGACAGTCACGGCGCATAGTTCGTTTGCATTCAGCACTCTAGCGGGTGGGCCGGCGTGCGAGAGAGCCCAGCGAGTTTGCGAGAAACAAGCCATCGGGCGAGGTTTCATGCCATAAAAAGACAAACACTGTTCTGTCTGCAATTTTTGTTTGAGGTAATACTCCCGGGTACGTATAGGACACAGCAGGAGTTCAAGGACTGACGAGTGAGATGGCTGTTAACGGGGCTCTGGTTTTGAGTCCATGCCACACAAGCTCATATGCCAGTGTAGGATATATGTAAGTTAGACTGATGTATATATACTAGTCACTTATCTTAGTACAGCCTAATAAGGTGTGTTGTTGATTGGCCTGTGTTCTGGTAGATACATTTAATTGTTCTTCATTGTAGATGACATTGCCAGCAAATGCTTGCTGTTGCACTATCAAATATATGATGGTTCTTTCATGTGTCAGACCAACTACCATAACATTGCATCAATAGAAATGTGAAAAAGCCTTCTTGATTCAATGTAGAATTGTTTGAGGCTTAGGGTGTGCAGGCAATACCATTATTTATGAAATAGATTGGATTATATTATATTGTGCACCATTATTATCATCACCAGACATGCTAAATCATGTCTGGGTCTAGCTATGAAATGTAGGGTAATTTTTCAAGAAGTTCTCATACTATGAGTGATGATTTGAAAATGTATCCCTACCACCCAGTAAAGGTTTTTATTTGAGAAAATTTTCCTTGCTGACAATCATGTCAAGCGCAGAGTTAAGTTTGTGTTTATATTATTGATCAGGTATCTTTTAATTGCATTTAAATCTGCACCACAACTCCCCACAACTGTATGTTCTCCCATGTAATTAAATTGCCAGTTTGACTCAAGTTTCTGTTGATATACTTTGTTCTAAAAGGAATTTCTGACTATATAGGAATGTCTGAAGGTGCAGGTCTGAAATTTGTGGAAAGGTCTGGCAGATTCAGTTCTCTTTTTTGTTGCCATTGCAAGCAATCAAAAAGTATCCACTTGGAGCAAAACAAACATAACAAATGGACATTGAATATAGCTTAGCATAGAATATTTAAGGTGCAGCTATTTTATCTCATATAATTCATTTGAACACTCACTCCTCCTGTCAGACCAGGGGCATTCTATTCAAATTTTTGAGAACTTTTTCCTCATTGGTTCATGATCTTTTTGAATGATTTATAATTATTTATTGACTTGCATCCCAGCTCCATGATTTAATACTGATTGAAATAATCTCAGTGTGGGAATCAAGTCAGCCTTGACTAATCCAACTTTCAATGTTTCCTTGCTAATTCTAAGTTGTGTTAATTGATAATCATTTATTCACTGTCACTGTAGTGATTTCATATTGTACTGGTGGTACTGATTGCACACTTATTTAAATGACTCAATCTGGGATTGATTCACTTGCCCTTCACATAAAATTAGCTTAATTTAAAAGCTTTTCAGAGCAAGCAATGACTTGATCAGTTATAACTGATTGTGTCAACTGTTTGCATACAGAACAGTTGGTTCACCATGAGTCATCAAAAAATGACTGATCACAAATATTTTCATCTTGCATCAAACACAGGTCTGCCTCTTGCTGATGGCAGTGTCTGACCATGTGCCTGGCCATGTGCTCTCCACCAGAGGTCGGAGCCATATCATGTCGACGACCTCGTCCGACCCGCGCCGGCCGCTGCGCGTCACGCGCTACAAGTCCCCGCTGGCGGCCAACCCCAACTCGAGCGCCCCGGTGCCGGGCGAGGACCCGACGGCCGACTACATGAACGTGCTCGGCATGATCTTCAGCATGGTCGGCCTGATGATGCGCGTCAAGTGGTGTGCCTGGGTGGCCATCATGTGCTCGTGCGTCAGCTTCGCCAACTCGCGCATCAACGACGACACGAAGCAAATCCTGAGCAGCTTCATGCTGTCCATCTCGGCGGTGGTCATGTCGTACCTGCAGAACCCCGAGCCGATGAAGCTGCCCTGGGAGATGCTCTCCTGAAGCCCGCTGGCCGGCGGGGCCGGCGTCTGGGAGGTGGGCAGGTCACCTCCTGACGAGGGGGCCACGGGCACGTGGTGCAAGATAACCTCCTGAGTTGAGTAGATGGCACACTGTTCAGAGCAGGAGTCAACACCCCTCTGGAGGTGGGCAAACGGACACGGCCGGAACAGGTGTGGCACGTAATACCGCGCGGAACGAAGTTGGCTGGTGTGGCCCGGTGTCCGGGGACCGCCTGGCGTGTGCCACTGTCAGGCTCGACGCCAAGCTGTGGTCTGGTGGAGGTTCGGAGTTTGATTGTGTAGACTTCTCGACCGAAGTGTGGCGAGGCTGACGGTGCCGGCCAGCGCACTGCTGGGGTGTCGGGTGTACCGTGGCTTCGAGCACGCGTGGATCGGATCGTACCGTGGTATGCTTTGTTGTCTGTTTAGGAATATTTACAGATTGATGCGTTATTTGCCAGGTCAACCAGCGTCGTTCCTCACGCTGTCTTCGTTGTCGGTGTTTGCTGAGTGAGTGTATACGCACTGTGTGCCCAAAAAATATGCGTTTGGTGTTCCGTTTTCGCGACATATAATGGTTGTAGCCAACAATGCAAGCGTGGGCATAATCCAACTTTTTATGTGATATAACCGACGTCTGTGAATTCTCAATATTGACGCTGATTTCATCGTCGATGCTGGAGAGAAGCAGAGGACCCCTCCTTAGGAGTGCATAACAGCGCATGGGAGTGAAACTGCTGAACACCTACGTCGCTTGCTCTAACCATCAAAAACTAGCAGCCAGCGTTAAACGCAAGGTAGTCCTCAGAGGTTGCGAGGTATGCGCCCGCGGTGAGGGATAAATCACGTCCCACTCCACACCCAGCAATGAAGGTGCAACTCATGGGTAAGTGGCGACAGTAATCGATCAGCCAGGTCAGCGACGCCCGGCGGCGAGAGCGTGACGGATATTGTCACCACCGTCATGCCGCACCGATGCTCGGACCTGTCGCGAGCGTGCCGGCAGCGGCTGCCAGGGCTCGGCCCGGGCCGGCCGGCGGCAGGTCGGCGGCCCGGGCCGCGCCGAGCACGCAGGCGGCCTCGGAGCCAATGCCAGCGGAGGTGGCCCTGCGACGCTGCCGATGTTTGACACAGTTTAGCCTCGCCGTTTGAAGTGCACAGGGTTCTCTGTGTGCCTCCGGTTAGCGCGGATGGTTCAAAGTAAAATGCTTGGACAACGCACTGCGGTTTTATTAGGCAGGGGTGTAACTTAGCCATTAATTAGGGATGCAGTTTCATCACCGACACCCCAGAAACTTAAATAGGGTGTATCGCGTTGGCTGGAAATTATGGACCCAAAACTGACATTTGCATCAGCAATTTTGTGTCAGTCTGGCTTACGCACAGGGTTGCAACATGGTGCGGGGGAGGGTGCACCGAGCTTGAGGAAGGGTCCTTGATGGAAAGCCTTCCAGAAATCACCGGCTCTGGTCCATTTGTTTCCGAGCGGCCCAGATTTTCTCCCTTTTTCAGATATGCTGACGGGCGCATTTAGCGAAGGCCCCGGTAAATTGTAAGATAAGGATAAAACCTTACCTCTCCCAGTCAGGGGGGGGGGGGGAAGGACCTTTCCGTTCCAGCCATGGGTAGTCATCGGTTACCATTCTAACGACGCATGGGTCTTGGGCCCCTGTTGGACCCAGAGGCCCTGGGAGGGATACATCATACTTCAGTCCACCTTGAAGCGAAGCGGTTGGCCCCTAAACATCTACCTATAGGCCGAAAGGCCCAGTCTTCCACCGTTTTCATCAAGGAAACGGCCCCGTCGCCCCTGACGCCAGTTGCCGAAGTCGCAAGGTACATATTTCGCCGTAAAACTGTAACCGGGGGAAAGTGAAGAACAGAAGATAGCTATCTCGAGTGTAAATCGATACTGCCCTGCTCACGAGCCCTCAACGAGTGGGTCGCGCTGTCTACAACGCAATGCTGGAACAATTCGCGACCGAGGGATTGCGAGTGGCTCGCGGCTGGAGCGTCGCTGGTTTATTTACCATCGTGGGGACCTACGCCGACCCGAAGCTTCACTGGCCCGCGCGGGGCATCCCGGCTCTGGCCTCTGCAGTCCCACGCGTCGATAAGGCAATCGGGCGAACGCAACGCTCCGAACAGACGTTATCCAATCAGGCGTCGCGCTGGGGCTCGCAATCTCACAATTCCTATCGACGCATCACCTCCGTTAGTCGTGTTGTATCGCACGGCCTGGTCAGCGGCGGTCCCCGCCCCCAGCCCGCAACCGTAAACCGTTCGATCTGATTCGCGGCGGCGTCCAGGGCGCAGCCGCGGCACGCCGCTCGCGCTCCCAGCACGCCGGCTCGGGGGGTGGGGAGGGGCTGCCGGCTGGGGAGGGGGGAGGGGCTGCCAAGCGGAGCGACCGCGCCAGTCGGTGGCAGGCAGCCGGGCGGGTGGCGGACAGTGCGCGGTGGCCGTTAGCAACGTCTGAGGGGCGGCGCGCGCGCACGTGTGTGGGCGAATGAGTGGTGCCGACTGACGGCCCAGTTCGCGCGCGTTGATCGCCTGCTGACGGCGGTGAGTACATTCACCCAAACCGGTCGACACGCCCGGGGTATGCGGCGCCCAGGGCAGGTGTGCTGCACAGGGAGTAGACCGAGACAGCCGGCCCAGGGTGCAGACGGAAATGATGTCAGCGGCGGCTTGTCGGCCGCGCTGCAGCGCCATTTTTCATGCTTGGCATCACGAGCTTAAGGAGGTTAGATAGTGGGCAGGGGCTGAGGATGGACGAGACCAGTTTTGAAGTTGATTCCTTGCATGGCGTTGCCGTAGGATTGATGTAAAATATTGTGAAGAAGTGGGGGTATGGTTCCCTGCCCCCGCCCCCGCTCCGGCGCTCCTGCGCCCGTCCCTGACAGGGTGCCGTATGATTTCATTGTGTGCGCCGGTCCGGTTTCCCGGTCGCCACACGGGCCCGCGGACGTCTGCTCTTCGGCCGCGTTCCCGCTCAGGTTCCGCCGGGGTCGGCGGGGGCGAGGGGAGTGGGGCGGGGGCTGCGTATCCAGACACAGCCAGAGCAGCTGTCGCCGCTTCCACGTCGATATTCCACCGCAAGCGTAACGACGCACTTCCCGTTGACATGAACCGTCACTCCACGGACCGCAGTTTATCACCAATGTCCGTTCTTCCCGCCTGTCGCCCTCGTGCCCAGCGTGGCTGACGCCGCCCCTGTTTGGCTGACGCCGCCCATGTCTGCACTGAGCAGTACCGCACAGCCAGGGCCCCGCATGCGGCTGCACGCGGCCGGCCCCGGCTCCCACCGTTCCGGCGCGGCTGCGGCCTGGATCAGCTGTTGCGGCCGATTTAGCCCCGGGCGCCGGCGGGCATGACGTCACTGAAGGGAACAGGCAGGCATGGAGCGACTGCCGGTGTGCCGGGACTAGTTTGCAGGCGCTGAGCCGACGCCAGGGACGTCCCTATGGTGACCGGCGAGGCGCCACTGATGCTGATATGTTAGCTGAAACGCTGAAACCTTAGCACCGTTTATGCTCGTGGCTGGGAGGGGAGGGGGAGGGGATGGTGACGCCTGGTGCTCGTTGTCCGAGCTCAAGGTCAACCGTACTGAGAGTGGCGCACGGAGTTGGAACTGACTCGCAGCAGCAACACCGCGCCGCGCGCCGATACGGCGATATCGTTATCATTTTCTTCGAGCTGCAACAGCGATAGCGTGATCAACAAATCATGGAATGCTTCGAGCTTTATCACCGTTTGTGCCCGGATTACGCTTCCGGTGAGTCGAGCGTGACGGGCAATGGGCGGTTAAAGCCTGCAAGCGCCACAAAAGCCAACTGGCTATCAATGACTGACAGCTGGCCCTTTCCAGCCCCCTCTTAGACATTCTTTTAATTCACCTTAGCTGCAAACAGTTACCTGTACGAAGTGTTTGGAGCAAATACAAGAAAACGAAATGTTAATGCGAGTTTTTGGGCAAACTGCCACTTATTTGGTGCCTGAACACAGGCTTGTAAGGGTGCCCAGACTTGTAAAGGCTTGTACAGGCTTGCGAAAGCATACATGCATTAAAGGCTTTGAGCTTGTAAAGGCGCTTAACAACCTGCTTCAACAAATCTGTCGATGTGTAGTCAGCAGATCTAGCTATGCTGTCGCAGTATGTATTTCGTGTGTGTGGACACCAGGTGCGGGATCATGACATCTGACATCTGACAGCACGTACCACGTGCTTGCGGCACTCGCAGCGCGTGGTGCGGCACGTTTTGCCTCTGCGCGACGTGCGCATCTGGTGAACCTGTGTCCCTGAGCGACTGTTCACGTAAGGCCCTCCGCAGGCTCAGGAGTTCTGATCGCCGTTGTCGGCTGTGGCGGCTGCCGGTGCGTGCTGCCACGTGCCGGTTTTCTCTTGAAGACGCACAAGAGTAAATTCTAGGCAGGGCTATGAACCAAATGCTCGGTGCACGTGGAGTTCACGCAAATATTTCTTCTTATGAGGTCAAACCGCCGAGAGCAATATTGATCGTCCATTTGGACATGAAACGAACGGCTACCTTAGATAACACCAAGTTTGAGTGCTTGCCAGTTTCAGTTATACTGTGTTTTATTGAAGCGCGGTGATGGAGGCCAACACGAGAGAAGTGTTCCCGAACAGGATGTTTTTGCAAACAGCTGACCGTCCGGCGTCCAAGCCACAAACGAAAGCAAACGAGCAGTGCTTCGTGAACTCACCATGGTCTAGGTACACTCATTGACGTCAAAATCCAGCAGACCCCAAAGAGTTTATCGATTTCCTCCCGGCGCATTCACGTGTCACGGCAGGGCCCGTGGCGTGGGGATGGGGGGGGGGGGGCGAGGGGCACGCCATACAGCGTTCACGATCTGCGTTACAGAACAGGGCTGATATCATTGCAACTCCATTTGTGTGAAATGCGCTGCATTACGCAGCACCCTCAACAAGCTGTTCGCGAACTGTTCGTGAACATAAAACGTGTTGGTCAACAGCTGGCTGGACATCGACGAAGCGGCAAACAAACACAAAGAAACGATGTTTCGTAAACTGCTCACAAACTGTTGGCGAGCACCTGACTTTGCAAAATATGATATGATTTGCTTGGTCAGGTGCTGCTTGAAACACCTCATGTCCCTCCGGCGTTCCATGCGACGCCAAAACATGACATGCATCCACCAGGCAGACTGATGTCTGCCGATGAATGATGAATAATTACGTTTTTGTAATATGTGGCTGACTGGCGCCCGCCGACTGTCCGCCGCAGCTTCAGATCTGCGGCCTCCATCACGTGACCGGTGGTCATGAAAGGTCATCAGTGCGAGGTCGCGCTCCGCCGGGGGGACGGGGGATTCGGACGGACGCCGTGGCTGTGTGCGGCCGCGTCCTGCCGAGCTTCGCGTCTCTGACAAATGAAATGTTCAAGAGACGCAATATTTCACGTGAGTCTGTCTGGACTGCACCGAGACTAAAGCCAGTCTGGACTCTCAGTAAACGCCCGTGACGCCATGTCATGGACTTCATGGAATACATTAAGTAACGCGTTAACTGCTTAGTCGGCTAGCGTGACGATGATTGTTTTATGAATTTTTTATGAAGCGCTGTCATGCCATGAACTCTTAGCTTTCCCTGAAATGCAGGGCCGCGTCAAACGTCTACGATATGCACATTTCGCACCTCTGCAGTGTTCTCGTCCCGTCAGTGCTCCCTGCTGATCTTCGCACCGTGCCTGGTTCAGCTGACCCGGGCCTCCGTACATATTGGATAAACGCGGCTTAGAGCCAAAGCCGTTTCAATGGAACATGCATGGCAGTTGAACACTGGCTGTCGTGACCGCCTATGCTTCTGCCTGAGTGGCTCATCGATCCTGATGTGTATTGACTGTGAAAAGTTGATTGTAAAGCTGACGCACGGTTCGTGCTGACGCACAAATACAACCAATACTGTAATGGTTGTAAGTTTGGGGCATGGTTTGGTATCATGTTTCCATTTGCAGCGTGACTAAGGTTCCTAAGCCATGGTCAGGCTCGGCGCATATTCATGCATTTCGTTTGCGTAATGGCTTACACGCCGGCGATAAACAGTCACCGCAGGCCTTTCCGTTACAGTAACTATAACAGGGGCAAACACCTCACGGAAGCAGTGGAACACAAACCACGCTCGGTAGCCAGAATAAAACAAGCATAGTGAACTTGGTGTTGTGCTAAACATCAGATGATGGGTGCGAATGTAACAAGGCATGACAGTTTAGAGGATGGCGCTGGATAGAGGGATGTTACCAAGTCTGTAATTCTGCGCTTTGCGGCAGACATAAACTAACTTCTTTGTCCTGGAAGTTGGCAACCTGCCCAAAGTGTATTCAGATTGACCGCGGCTGAATAGATCATGGTCACGGCTCATTTGGTGGTCTGGCACCGGCGGCGGATGTCCCAGCTGGCGTCTGGCCAGCCGGCTGGCGGATAGCATCTCGGAAGTGGACTAGCCCTCGCAGCCACGCCACTCCCCGCGTCCCACAGCGGCGAACGACCCGGAGTCGCTGCCCGTGTCCCGGAGACGCTGCCCGTGTCCCGAAAACACTGCACTTGTCCCGGAGACGCTGGCCGTGTCCCGGAGTCGCTGCACTTGTCCCGGAGAGGCTGGCCGTGCCCCGGAGTCGCTGCCTGGGTCCCGGAGACGCTGCCTATGTCCCGGAGACGCTGCCCGTGCCCCGGAGACGCTGCCCGTGCCCGGAGACGCTGCCCGCGTCCTGGAGTTGCTGCCTGGGTCCCAGAGACGCTGTCTGTGTCCCAGAGGCGCTGCCCGTGCCCCGGAGACGCTGTTCGTGCCCCAGAGACACTGCCCGTGTCCCGGAGACACTACCTGTGTCTTGGAAAGCTGCCTTCGCACGCCGCTGCGTCTGCCCGGCGGGAAGCTGAGCTGGCGATGTCCATAACAAGCTGCCGTGAAGCCGGGATGGCTGCTTATCGGCGCGCTCCCCGTCCCGCCCCGGCGGGCACCCGCCGGTCGTGTCGCTGCTGAGCGAGCTATCGACCTGCCCCCGTGAACGCCAGAGATGTCCGGCGGAGGGCTCGTTTGAAGGCGGCAGTCATCTGAGGGTCACGGCGCGCCAGGGGCGTGCAAACGTCCTTAAAAGCGGGGAGGCCAGCCTCTTTTTACAGTACGAGTTTTTCGTCAGTCATCATGCAATTAATGTAAAGCCTTTAAGAAAAATGAGTGTAGGCATCCCCTGCTGTCCCTACGCCTTGATGCTTCGCAGGCGGTGGGGTAGGGGAGGGGCAGCCAGTTGGGTCACGCCATTCGGGGCTGCTCGGGCTCGGCACGACTTTGCGTCATGACCACGACGTTTTACAAGCCACGTGGCTTGCGGCGGCGGCGGCGGTGGTGGTTGGAATCAGCGATTTCGTGCAGTTGCGAGGTATCGCCAAAAGATGGCACTGCCCTTGTGTGGGAAACGCCACCTACAGGCATGTGTTTGAAGCTGAAGTGTCGGAGAGTTTCGGAAACTGATAGACAGCTCTATCGTTACTGGTACTGCGCTAGGGGCGGCGGCACGAGCGCTTTGAGAGGTGGCAGACCAATATTCTTCGCACATGCACAGTATACCCTAGACGTGCTTTCTCAGGTTAAAAAGAGTCCCTCAAAGCCGAAAAACATTACTGTCTGGGTCATACCTGTGATTGATTTGTAATGTAATTCTTCATTATGTGCATGTATGCATGTCCCGTGATACCTACGCTGTGTGAGAATGTCGTTTTCACATTCGTCAACTCATCTGTCCTCTGTCGACACTAGGGAACCAACGGTTTGTAAGATTAATATTGATGCGTAATCAAACACGGATCGTATCTTCCGCTTTCAGTACAATGTTAGCGCTCTCATGGCTAATAAAACCATCCAATGTGTCTGCGTTCGTAGTCGTTGTACTATTGGGCCGCCATTAGGACGAGAACCGCTTTTAATCACGGCCGAAGCCTGCTCCTGATCGCATCAGAGGTAACAAAAAGTTGCGAGGGGTCTCCTGCTTCACGGCACCCTGACCCTGTCCGCCAAAACGGGGACCTTCTGCCGTACCGCGGACCTCAGCCAGCCAATATATCTGCAGGTCATGGCACAGGCTTCCTCTCCGACCACCCTCACTGCCGACTTGGGACCCCTCTCGATCAGTAGATCACGTTGTCGGATATCCCGGGTCGTCCTCCCCAGCGCCATCGCCGCCGATCGTGCACGCGAAACCTGTCACTGTGTTTGAGAAGCCTGCTAATAGCATGTATGGGCGGACAATAGTATCGTCATTTCAAGAAGAAATTTGCATGCACCTCGGTGAGTTTCGATATTGGTAAGCGGTGCACTGTGGACTAGTATCTAACGCTGCTTCGAAGCACGTTAACCGCCTGAAACGCGCGGTGTAGCGCGCAAACCTCGTACATTTCTGTCTGGGGTAGGCTTGGCGGCAGATGTGACAAGGACATCACCAATTTTTCTTGAAGTTGCAATAATTTTACATGTCGTGTTTGAAACATCGACAGCTGTTCCACATCAAACTGTATTCATCTTATTCACCCTTGTAAACATGCAGCATATATTATGTACATTGGTAGCACTGGACCGTGTCTTGGCATATGGAGTCATATTAAAGTCTGCGGGCGCCGACGATATGGCTGGTTTACTGCTTGATAGGGATACTCGCTGTCATGGCTTTCAAGTTAATGGGGATGCAACGGTTAAATGTATTGACATCCGGCCTCCCGCACTATTTTAAGGCCTAGTTATGTGTTGCCCTTGGGTGTTCGGACCCGTCGTAGGCCTTCAACAACATGCCTGCGTATCTCCGGGGCATCGAGTTGCCCCTTTGAGGTTTTCTGGCACGGGCATACACGTCACGCATCTGTCCCGGTGCGGCAGATCCGTCGACAGCGATGGAAGCAGCGGTCCGCCGCGTCGACGGCGACGAAGGAACTATCCTGTCCGGCTGACATCGCAGAGGCACGTAGCCTCGAGCGCGCGAGTGAGACGGCTCTCACAGACGTCAGTCAGGCGGAGCGTGGCCCTGGCCTGCTGTGGTCGCAGCACATGCCAACGGCGGCGGTGGGAGTAGAATGGAATGGAGGCGTTGGGCGTTTACCGCACGCCAGGCGGCCGGGTACCCAGGATCACGCCTGCCTTGTCAGCGCGGTCGGCGCAGCCCGCTGCTAAGACACTCGTTCCGAACGAAGTCGACGCCGTCACGTGACCTTTGTTTACTGGCATCTGACAGATCACACGGTCCAATGTTTGCGCGACTGCTGGCATCAGCACGGACCCGGTGTACAGAAGTCCTGGCCGGACCCCGCTGTCCAGCTCGACGATGAACGACATACAGCGTTCCTTGGTCATTGAGCAGAACCACACGGCGAAACATGCTGGTGAGGCCGGTTTTTATGTCCGCGGGTGAGTTTGCGTCTTGCGTCCATTTTTTACGCCTGTCGTAATCATCGCTGGATTCTGGTAAACGTATGCTGAGTAATGACGGTGCCGCATCGCCTACTGCGGCTGCCTCGGGCCACCGGTCACCGAGCCGCTGTTGCCAACCGCGCGAGCTGCTCCAGTCGGCAGCCGGTCACGGACACTCACCGTCCCGCCAACAGACACACCCCCCCCCCCCCCCGGCACGACCTCCCTGGTCACGGGCACTCCCATCGTTCCGCCAGCAGACCACGCGCCCGGCACGACGCCCCTGGTCACGGGCGCCCCCACCGTCCCGCCAACAGACCCCCTCCCCCGGCACGACGCCCCTGGTCACGGGCGCCCCCACCGTCCCGCCAACAGACCCCCCCCCCCGGCACGACGCCCCTGGTCACGGGCGCCCCCACCGTCCCGCCAACAGACCCCCCCCCGACCCTCCCCCGGCACGACTCCCCTGGTCACCGACGCTCCCGGTGTCCAGCCCTCCCCCCCCCCCCCTCCAACGGACCTCCCTCTTGCCATGACTTCCCTCTTGTGGTCATCAAGCAAGTAAAATGTCTCTCCGAATTGTCTAATCACGCAAGCTCACTTCAGTCGGCTTTCGTAAATATGCATTCACTGAACGTTTCTGACGCCTGCATGCGCATGAACATGCAAAGAGAGCAAGCAGCGAAGGGGGGCACACTGGGATCCATTCCAGCCACGTACCCGGGGGCCTTGGATATAGTTTTCTCATCGAAGCGACTGGGGGCGGGCAATTTTCTCAACGAAGCGGCTGGGGCGACAATTTTCTCATCGAAGCGATGGCACTTTGGAGATAGTTAACACCCGGTCTGGGCAATGTTCTGGCATTGAACTTCTCAAAGCATGCCTCTCTGCATGCACTAGGCTGCTTTCATCCTGGATTCGGTCCTAGTGACGTTAATTGCTAATCTGGCTCACACCTGTCGCACAGGGCACTAGCGGTTACTGCAGTAGGGAACGTGCTTGACGCGGCCGGTCCAATTTCAGCGAACATGGCTGTTATGTGGACGCAAAAATGAAAGCAGGCCAGGTATGATGAGTTGCAGTGGCAACGTGATCAGGATCGTATTGTTGAGTTGTCATGTAATGCGCTGATTGGTCAGGACGGGGAAAATGAAGATAGAACGTTCGGGGATTGGTCAGGGGCAAGGCAAAGTCGATATTTCTCAGTTCGGGAACCGGGGAGTGTCGGGAGTCAGGCCGGAGGGCCGAGTTAGGACTAGCGTGGAGTGTATATGTATTGTTTTGTGTTTTTTATTATTACGAAACGCATTCAGCTGACTGAGACTGCGAGTCCACGACAGTGATATGTTAGAGCACCCCTCCGAATAGGTGAATTCATCACCCGCCCATGCTGAACTCTGGAATTGACCTTTCACCCGCAGACTGCCGGGGTCATTTGTCAGGTCTGCCTCGGCTCGGTTCGAGGAAGGCCTCGCTGTTGCCGCCCATTTGTCGCCTTCCTCTTCGATCCCGTGAATCACGCCAAAGTCAAGCCATGTCCGCTCTAACCAGCCCCACGCCGCTTTTAGCACGTTTGGGCGCACCCTTGGTTGAAAAGTGGTCTTATGGTATTCTCTTGTATTTTGGGGGAACGATGGAAGTTTGCGTTTCTTCACCTCGCATTCATAAAGCGCATCTTACGCATCGCAGTGCGATAATGGATATTAATAATAATAATTATGATATTTTATATTATGAAATTAATTAATCACAATAATTAATAATCATAACCTAATTATGGGGGTTATAGACCTCGCGGGAGCTGAGTCAGGCGTCGACGGTCTTCCGCTGCGGCACAAAGAAGTGACAAATGGTAAAGAGATCAGGTTTACCAACATAGGTCTTTCAGCTCTGTTATCGAGAACGCGTCGAAAGCCGCAACCCAAACAGTGGCATTTCCTCCTGAACAGATTCCAAACAGCGGAAGCACCGCCATCTTGCTTTTTTGTCAGCCGACATCACCGCACCGTGAGATGTAGCCGTGATCGTGGTACCATTATCTGAAAGGATCGTCTGGCTGGGCTCATGTTAAAGCTAAAACTTCGCAGAAATAATGCAGCGTCAAAAAGATCGAACGGCTGTCCCACAAGATTCCATGTGAGTGAGGAGTCCCGGAACATCCTACGCAGGAAGCCTTAAAAGGTTTGTGGGTTCGGCCATGTTACTTCACACCGACCTGTGATGCAGCTCTGGCACGCGATCGTGCACGACGTATCCTGACTTTTGGGATGTATTGGCCTCCAGGAACGTCTTCATCCAAAATAGAGACCATATCGCCAGAAAACCCACCAAGTAGCATTCGAAACTGCACACACATCCATATTGGGTGGCCACTAGTATATCCAAGGACAACCCGAACCCGTCAACCCTAAGGCGCATTATCACCTGAGCTCCAAGAGAAGCGTGGGTCTATCGCAGCCCAACCCTAAGGCGCATTATCACCTGAGCTCCAAGAGAAGCGTGGGTCTATCGCAGGCCCAACCCTAGAGGCGCATTATCACCTGAGCTCCAAGAGAAGCGTGGGTCTATCGCAGCCTTATCTGCCGTGACCCAGCTGCACATGTTGGCCGTCGGGGCCGCAGACGGCGCCGCACGCTTGGGCCGATTACAGGTGGCCGCCACCGAGGGCCCAGTCTTGTGCAGACAAGGGCAGAAGGTGGAACGCCGCGGCGGCCGTTCCCGTGTGACGGCCTTGTGAAGTGGTGTGACGCCAGTTGGCCCTTGCTCACGAATACATTGTTAAACCTGAGCGACGTCAGGGTAACGCTATTTTCCGGCCGTGTGAGGCGGTGTGACGGCCGTGTGAGGCGGTGTGACGGCCGAGTGAGGCTGTGTGACGGTCGTGTGAGGCGGTGTGACGGTCGTGTGAGGCGGTGTGACGGTCGCGTGAGGCCGGTGTGTGACGCCTGCGCTAGTCGCACCATTTCCACGTGGCGTGTGACGGCGTGGACGGCGTCCACCGTGCGCGTGGCAGGCGTGACAGCGGCGCGCGCCGGACTATTTCCGTCGGGCGGGTGCCCGGTCGCCGCCGGCGCCCGGGTGCCCGTCAGCTGAAGGCAACTCCGGCCGGTGCGGCACCGCCGGGCGCAGTTGTCGATGTGAATCGGCCCGGCTCACAGGTGTAGCGCGCTCTCGACTATGACCCTGCCGACAGCAGGCCGACGGCGGCGGACCCGCCGCATTCCGTGAGGCCCCCCGCCGAGCACTGTGACGAGCTCGCTCTGTACTGTGACGAGCCAGCTCCAGACTACGACGAGCCCGCTCCAGACTGTGCCGAGCCCGCTCCAAACTACAACGAGCCCACTCCAGGCTGTGACGAGCTCGCCATGTACTGTGACGAGCCCGCTCTGTGTTGTGGCGAACCAACTCTTTTCGTGGCGTGACCGGGGGACAGTGAAGATCATCCCGTATACTGACGCGCCGTCGATACTCTGATAAAACGGTGACGCTCTTGCCGCCTGCTTTGAAAAGCTCGCGGAACACTGCGGAGCTCGCGGGACACTGCGGGGTTCGCCTTATACTGTGCAGAGCTTGCTGTGCACGGGGACAAGCTCGGAGAACTTTGACAAGCCCGCGGCGTACCGTGGCAAGCTCGTGACGCACTGTGCCGTGTTCGATAAGACAGTGTGGGGAGCTGGTGAAACGCTGACGACTACGAGAAACACTACCGAGCCCGTGGCACGCTGTGACAAGCTTGCAGGAGACCGTGACTGGCTCCGGGCACAAACAGCAGGCTGTTGCTCGTTAGCCTCCGTCGGTGTCAATTCAGCTGCCGTGACAGGGCCGGTGTTCACCGGCGGCGTCCGCACTGGTGCGATACCGCGGTGCTGGCGAGGACGCTGCGGCGCACAGGTGTACCGAAGCTAACGCTAAGCTAAAGCTAAGCTAAGCTAAGCTAAGCCAAGTGCCGGAGCTTAAGTTTACCGGCGGCGCGTTCGACGCCGAGCTCTGCCTGTGTGCTGAGGCCACGGTCACGCATCGCAGCCCGCGGACTATCACGACAGACCAGTGTAGTGTCAATGTTGTCACATTTACCGGAGTGAAAGAGTGCGCCGCAAACTGCAAGCACAAGCGGCGAAGCCCAGGCGAGGAGGTCGTTTGCAATCTGCGGGTGGCCTACTTCCAGTGTGACACTGCGAACTCATACCCCGGTTTGATTCGTGCGGCGGCATGCTGTGAACGGTGTGGTCAGCACCGGTCGAGCAGCACGCGGAGACGCCGCACGCAGGCGCGCGTTCTTCACGTCAGCGTGATGTCCGCACGGGCGCCAGCGATCGAGATGAACGGTCGCCGACGGAACGGACGGGGGCGGCGAGCCGGCCCGGCCGGCCGAGACGAACGCGACGCGCGGTGCCTCGCGGCCGGCCGCCGTGCCCGAGACGGCGGCGGCGCAGGAGCGGCCGACGCGGCTGCAGAGTTCTGCGGCGAGGAGTGGAGACCGTGCGACAGAGGTGAGCCGGCGCCGGCGTCAGCTCTCCGCCGGACGGCTGCCCGCCGCCATGTTGTTTCGCGTCTGTCGGCTCGCCCAGCTGTGTGCCGGTCACGGGCCGCCGGACGCCTGCTCTGGCGGGAGGACAATATTGTGACCTTAACAGCATGTCACTGCGGAGGGCTATCTTGGTCCTCACTTCTCCGTCCTACAATAAAGTTCACCTGAATGCGACTGGAGACTTGCAGTGCTCTTCAAAGAATACCTTAGATTAATTGTGTCAAAGATAGAAGTTGGGGCTATCGCTATTGACAAGCGTAAAGATTGAACCCAAAATGCTGCTTTCACGATACCGCATGCCGTCTTGTGTTGCTGTCGCATCAGATAAATATAAAGAAGTTGGTGCAGTGCAGTTGGGGATGCAAGAGCCAGTCTTTTACCACGACTGACCGATCTTAGTCGGGCCTTTTTGAGTTATTGCAAGGTAGGAGGAAACTTTTACGTCGGTGATTGATATTTATGCTGGGAATGTGCGAAGTGTAGGTCAGTTGAGCTAGCCTCTTCGAAAATGCTTCGAAAACACGTATCATATTGCGTGGGTGGCAGGGGCGGCGGCATCTCCCCTACTTACGACAAAAATGGCATAATGTAACCAGCGAAATACCGGGCTACACCTCCCAAAATCATTTGAGGATCAAGAAATCACTTTTTGTTTTTATCAATGCTAGGATTTGCAGCTGTTGCCTGCGCCACGATACACCCGATATTTGAGAGATACAAAATCGGAACTCTCTGGAAACGAATCCCTAAAATATGCAAAATAACGGCAGAACACGACAAAGCGACACCGCTGGCCAGATATTCGTGCTTCACGTCCCTTGTGACATGAATGAGTGCTAATTTAACAAAACGCGTTTTCCCTTCCAAAGAAAGACTGGGCAGGCCAGTTGTTTGATTACCGCGATTGGTTGGCTGGTGGCCAAAATAGGGACCGCGCAGAGTAAGCCACGCCCAGCAAATATTGCGCAGAAAAATACAGCAGTGACGGTCGGGTGCATGTCCAATGTTGTATCCTGATATAAATGTCCGTTCTCGAAGACGTGCAGTGCGGCACAATTTGCCGCGAACGAACACCGGTTCATGTATAAGAAGAGTCCTTGACGCTTTCTGTGGCGGCGGTTTCCAAGTCAGAGCTGCGCGCAACGCACTATCCGTTCTCCCCTGTTCTCGGTGGTGGTCACAGGGGTGGCGCGGCCCGTTCCCCAGCGAGTCGTATAGACACAATCGATCGCCTTCCGCCCCGGCACACACGGCAGCGGCGCTCCGTCGGCACAGAGCGTGCGTTTATGTGCGCGCCGGCGTCCGCTGAAGAGACGGTCCTCTCCATCGGTACATGCCCGTGAATATGGGTCTACGGATGGGTACGTCATGGTCCCATCCCGGTCCCATCGGTCCCATCCCGGCGCGCGTTCAGTCCGTGCTTCTGCGTGCGTCGCACGCGACCCCCTCCCCCCTCCCCACTCGAGGCGCGTCATGGCGTGGCCCGGCAGCCCTCCGCTGTTTGGCGCTATGCGTATTTGCCATGCAGTTCGCCGCCCAGTATCGATGGGCGGCCAGATTAGCGGGGTGGTGCTGGCCGTTCTCTCGCCCCCGGGTCACTGACCTCCAGCTGGCCCACGGGGTGACCGGCTGCGGTCAGGACTCTGAGGAGCCTCGCGACGGCCGACCATGGGGCTAAGCTTCCTGATCGCTTACGAAGCGCGGAGTCCAGCACGGTAGGTGATAAGATTTTTCATGGTTTCAGCCGGCACAGATGATTTCCTTTCTAGTCTAGTTTGCAAATTCCTCCTGCTACATATTATAAGTGCGTCACGTATGTCCAGTTCCAAAATATACGATAGATAGCCTTAAATTGTTCGTGTAAGCAAGTAAGGCTATTGTTAGGACAATCGTACTTGCAAATCATATAAAGATCCTTACATTAAGTTTGGTGGCCGACCATGTTGATGTAGAAGTTCCTCGAACATTTCGGACTTATTTTGCAGCTCGCGATTCTACCCAGGCAACACAGAACACCGGCTGACGTCACCGGATCAATCGGTATCAATGACCAGACCGATATGGTGCACGGCCGGTCGTTCGGCAACCTGGCTAGATGTCCAGAATAGATAGAGAACCTCACAGTGGCGTATCTTGTTTTCCACCATCAATGTTTTGTGGTACCTTTTCAGGTTACGCGAGACGTGTCCCGGGTTTGTGTGGAATACGTGCATGCAGTCATCGCGAAGGCGGCGCAGTGTCAGTGCGCAGTGTCGCAGTGACTTACGTAGGCATGTATTTTTCTGGTTTGGACGTGACTGGCGATGCGGTAGCAATCGCTAACTTTCACTGATCATGACGCTAACGTTTCTAGCGGCCGGTCGCCGGTCGGTCACCTGCCACCAGCTGTCCATAACCCTGCGGTCGCCGAGTCGCTTCACGGATACATCCGTCTGGTCCGTCCCGCCCCGACCGCGCCATGTCTCACGCGTCTACTTATGGACAGCTAGTGAAATACGTTTGAAATCATCCCGCTGAAGCAAGGATGTTAGGATGGACAAGAAAGAATGCTGGAATTCATAATTTTCGGATGTCCTGCTAGGGTCGTCCAGTCTTAGGACAAAGACGTCTCGGTTTGATAAGTGGACTGCTATCAGTAAGTTGATGCGATTTTTCCCGTGGCCAGCAAGTAATTGACTTACAAAAGGCGTGAGTCGTCTTTGCAGACAAGGGCTCGGGGTTTTGTTGAACACCCGATATGTTTTCCACATCACTTGTTTATCACCAGTCTGTTTTCCTGTCAAGACTTTACTGCATGAGGCTGCAGTTCTGTTGCGGCCTGTTTTCAGGGACTAAAAAGCATTGCAAGGCGATTCTTCTTGTTCCAACATCAGACGGATGCAATGCCAAAGTGAGGGGCCAGTTTTATCGGTCGTCACTTCCAAGAAAGTTTTATTTTAAATTGGTTGATGTGTGATAAAAACAAGATCGAGGTGCTTTACTAGGCTTGATTTGTCCGATGCAGAGAAAGGAGAGAGCAGGCAGGCACATGTCAGCATTAACAACAACAAAAAAACGAACAAACAAACAAACAAACTCAACAATGGGGCGCAGGCGTGCTCACATGTCAATATACGCTCACGAAATATGTGTTCAGCTTAGTTTGGTTAAGAGCTGTTCTGGCCAGTGCTGACCATTTCAAGGTCGAACGAACGATGCAGTGGAGAGTGGTGGGCCGAGACGACATGCATATGGGAGTGCCGCGCTACGGAGACTTACCCCGAGCAGGGACCCCTCGGGGGTTCGTGCGGACGCTCGGGAGAAGCTCTCGCCAAGGTAGGCACTTAAGCCCACGCATGGCTGATGCATGCAGCTTACCCCGGATAAACTGGGCGTTGTGAGGACTCGGGTGAAGCGTGAAACAGTGAAAGAGAGACGGATGGAATTGTACGGGAGGCAGAAGGCATCATGAAGGAAGCGTCCTTAGTTGCACCGGAGGATGGGAACGATTTCGTGATTAGGCTGAGCGATTTTAGCGCTGTCTGACCCATGGCAATACCGGTAATTGGCTGGG